GGTTGTTGCTTCATTCTTTGAAGGGAACGTGCTTTTTGTTCGGTTAAAAGTAACTTTTGAAGGGCGTAACCTAATGTATCATCTGTGAAACACTGATCCATTTAGCTGTTAGACACAACATGCCAATCAACTACATATTAAATTGTGCGTATAATATGTATAGTTTAAACTGTCAAAATTGAAAGCAGAAATAACAGCTCATGTTGTATTGAAGTGCCTATACCATGGTTGCGGATTTTGAATATATCAAAAGTTTAAGGTATTTCAGAAAACGTTGCAATACATTTTCCTATTGAAAAATTTTGTCTTGATTGTATCACGGGACATAACGACTCTAAACAAGATATTTCTCAAATTCTTAAAATGAATGTCAAGTCCGTATGTGAACATAGGGTTCGTTTACATTTTAAAGTTCATACACTTTCTAGAAATACAATCCGTTCTCTCAATGTCCAACAACATTTCGGTTCTCTATGAGCTATTATTTTCAGTGGGGAGGGAGTTTTAAAATTACTCCTAGTCATCAAATCTTTTGTTTTCTAATTAGAAAGACTAAAATAGAGATATGGATCTTGATGAATTACATCATCGTTTTTTGGAGTAACAGACACGTCAGCTCATATATTTAGCCATGAACTGCCACTATTAATAATGTTCAGTTCTAAATATAAATTGTCACAAAAAATTTTTGATGACATCAGCGTTATAGGCAAAATACAATAACATTAAATTTATGTTCAAAGAAATTCAAAACATGCAAAATTTTCACGATTAATAAATGATGGAGTCCCTCAATATTATAACCAAAAGTGATGCACAGAAATCACCGCACCTGGCCCTCTTTAAGTTGACTGACAAATCTGAAATTTACTAAAATATTACGTCATCCCATCTTTGAATAACACGCCAAAACCACGCCTGTTACGTTTATAGACATGAACAATAAATAATGTAAACGATGGTTAAAAAGCATATATATTTTCTCTAATGTTTGCTCCTATGTTATCAGTATGATCCATAGAATCCTGTGAAAAAAGAAGTAATCAAATCTTTTGTTTTCTGGTTAAAAAAACTGAATACAAAGATGTGCATTTCAATTACATCATCGTCCTTTGAAGTCTATATTTAGGTTTTACCCCATAAATTGTTTCTATTTTTAACGTTGAACTCAAAATATTTCCACAATTATTTTTAAACTTTTCCCTGACATCATCTTCACACTGATTGGCTGAGCTTCTCTATAAATATGGGTCGCAAACACTCTAATTTTCATTCGATTTTGAATATTCATCTGCGACGGAGACGAAAATAGAAGAAATCCAAGAAATCCTAGAAAGAAGAGCAACATGACGTCGACGCCTACCAAACGAAAGTCCACCACGATTGACGAACTAAAGGCATCACCAGTTTCCAAATCTCCCAGAAAAGTCTCGAAAAGCCTGACGTGCGCGGTGGTTAACAAAAGTAACTTGCGTCGAACGAAAAATGGCTCGATGTTCTCTATGAACTTCTGCGATGACAGTACCAAGGAGACGTTGCGCTCAGTGTGTTTCGATGATAAATTCTTCGGCAAGTTCGAAGCACAGAAAAGCTACGAACTGAGCTCGTTCAAAATCAAACAGTCTTACGATAACAACCCCAACGCCGTAGAGATACTCCTTGACAAAGAACTGCTGATGGCTAACGCGTCCAAAGACGTCCCCATCGTCGGCTGCTCCACCATGAAAATCCAACAACTTCTTGAGTCAGACAACCTAACGCGTCCCAGATTCATCAACGTTAAAGCAAAGGTCATGAAGATTGAAGAACCATACGAGGTCGGTGCGTTTCCTGATACGAAAACCAAACGCGAAGTCGTCTTAGCTGATGAGACCGGCCAGATGAACTTGGTCCTGTGGAGATAACGAGCACAAAAAGTTTCATTTAACACCGACGATGTTATCCTTCTTGAAAACTTGGTAACAACTACCTTCAATGGCAAAATGAATCTGACCACCAGTTTTGAGACAACCATCAAGGTTCAGCCTGGAGAGAAAATAGAAGTCGTTGCTAATCTGGAAACTTTCGCTACAAAGATTGAAATCACAACGGCCGTATTGGCAATAAAGAACTTTCAGTACGCACGCAAGTGCTTCCTCTGTAAGTCAACCATTGTCCAAACAGCTGTCAACTCGGTCACAACGGATTGTGCATCCTGCAAGGGATCTTTCTTATCAAGACTAGCTACTGTAACAAACCAGTGCCTGGTGATGCTTTCAGATAATACTGGTACACAGCAACTCAATCTGTAAGTATATTAATGTCACAGTGAAATATTTTAAATCATGTCAAGCCACTCAACTATTCTTCTTTAAGGTTTAACCAAGATTACCTTCTTTATATGTAGATTAAATTAACAATTTCTTTACTCTCTCCTTAGGTTATCTTGAGCTTGTTGAAATGGACAGAGCCAAAACCTCAGCTGGATGAAAAAGATAAGGTTCTTCTGCTGACATCAAAATACACACTGGAGATAGACCCAAACCGAAACATCATAGAAAGTGCTATCCAGTATGAAGATTCTGAAATGCCAAAAGATGACCTTGAAACTTTGGACATTAACTAAGTTATTAATTGACATTCTAGTCTTTTATATGCTTATATACAGGCTGTTCAAGTTTGAAATTGTAGTTTTTTCTGAATAATTTTCATCATTGTAAATACTTGCTTTCTAAAAAAATACATTTTTAAATAAAAGTTAATTGAACAGTATATGATTGTTCACTTTCATTATTTGTTCTATACTTCCTATTTTCTTTTACACTTAAGTTTTCAATCACAACTATGTGCCTTAATTATCTCCTAGCTGCATGAGCAGGGCCTATACATGTTTATAACTTTCACAATTTAAAATTCCTCTCCCAATTAAAGTCTGACATATCCTATATATTAAACAAGTTCACTGGACACTGCCTTTTCATACCCAAAGATGAAATTTTTAGCCAGACATACTCATACAGAACTTTAAGCTTAGTACATCTTGTCAACACAGTCACCATGTCTTATAATGAAACTTCCAATCTAACAATCATCTCTATCTAAGAAAAACCACTTATGAATACGTTTTGTTTCTTAATTCTTAATACGTACACCTCTAACACGTGGGGTGAGCGACCATAAAATACACCTTGGTCGTATACGCTAGTTTAACTCAAATTTTTGACAAATATAAGAATCTTCTCTTGCATTTCAAGTAACTCACCTTTCACAAAAAAAATTGCACAAAACTTTCTCAATCCCTCGAATATTTAAACAAAATAAAAAAATAAAAATGAGGATCAAGCATTCGATTGTTAAACTAGCCTCTATTCGGCCTCATTTCGCGTGCTTTAAATTTTCGTGACGTCATCACTGGCCAATTATCTGGGAAAAAGGATTCTGGCCACTGAGCTATATAATATTTTTTTAATAAAAATTATTATATAGCTCAGTCATGCTCGCCCATCCACTGGCGGGGCACACACGCCGGAGTTAACGCCTGAGCTGGCGTCTTGTTCTAATACAAAAATGCATTGAAGAAGTTTTAGAAAACCTTTTAAGAGCCTTTGCATCTTCAGCTTTAAACTTGTCAATTAACCTCTCCAGTCTTTCTCGGCATCCCCGCCCTTTCAGCTCCACTTGAGTAGACTCTGTTGTAAACATTTTGCTTAACCGTGCTGCTATAGCTTCCCAATCTTTGGGTTTAACAGGACCAAATGCAGCCACTTCAGTGGCCAACGCAATGTCATGTTTGTTTTCAGGCCATTTGAAAGCTTTTGTTAGAGCCATGACAAACTCTAAAATTTTATAAACAACATAATTATATATTTCAAACACACTGCAGCAGCAACAAATAAATCGCTTAACCAGACATAGCATTGGTTTAGAATATATAATTGAAAACTGGCCAAGAAAATTATAGTGTTTTTGAAATTTTGCATATTAAAATTGACCTCGAAAATTGCAATGAATGATCGTAAACTTAGATAAACAAATTCATTCACTCGTTAAAGCGCAAATTAATAGCAAAAGTGCGAAAAATGAGCGAATGACAATGAAAATTTTAGAATGAAATTGACCCCATGTTTGTTGTTTTGCTTGAGCGATTGATGTGCCTCTCAAAACTTTAAAAAAATCAATGTCAACGCTCGCTTTTACGAACCGAAATATTCACAAAATGAAAGTTTAGAATCTTTATGCCCTATATGTAGTCAATAAACGTGTGTTTATTAAATAGGAAAGTTTTAAAACGTTGAGGTAAATCACTTACCTGTAGAAGACACTCTTCATGTTGAAAACGCCAGAGAAATACGGCAAACGTAGCGGGGAAACGCTGGTCACGTGGTTTTTGGAGGTTTGCGGTTTGACGTTTGCAAAAATTACGTCAAACTTAAGGTCTCTATTCTGTCAATTCTTCCAAACTTATTAAAGTTATAACACACTCTAGTATACTGTAGACTCTACACACTTTATACTCGCACAGTAAACAAAAATTGACTTCAAATCATATTATATTTACCATGTTTTAACCTACTGAGGAAAGTGTTCACGTTTGATGGCTCATTTAATTACATGAGTTACAGTAGTGTCAAATATTTGTAAAAGGTAACTGCAGCTGAGAGTTTCTAGATCACCTGACAATGTCAGCTGCAAGTATTTGTGTGGCAGTTTAACTGACAGATGCCCCAGGGAATATAAACTTGTTTTAGTAAAATATTGTTAATTCTTTTGACGGTTTTCAGAATCCAACAGTCTCAAAACTCCACACCGGGGATGAGTTATGGCTTGAATATGGGGAAAAAGTTGTAGCTATCCAAGCAGACCCTATCCGGGATGAAATTACAGTGGAAGGGGTATCTGGTTTCAAGACAACCTTGTCATCAAATGAGCTCCTGGTTACAAAACCTCAACATGAAGCATCAAAGTGCAAAAGAGCCAAAAAATCATCTGCACTTATACAACATTCAGCAACACATTCAGACATGGAAAGAACACCCACCTCTATGACAGACCCAGCCATCGAAACATCCCAGGTACCAAACAGAAATGGTATCCATGCTAAGCTGCCGCAAGACTCTACCAATTTCAAACCAAATGAACTGGAATTTACAGTTTATATTCAGCAGTCTTCTGGTATAATTTTGCGCATCGGTTCAGTATATTTTATTGAATCATGCACTGCTCCATTTGTGATTTCTCGAATTTTGCGAAGGAAACTTTGTTGCATTTTAAGTGGAGATCAACGTAAAATAACTGGATTTTGCCAAAATTTTGAATGCACAATTGGCTCTAAGTACATTCTTTGTTATCCAGCAAAGGGTGAATTCATATCTCAGTGTTCCAGTGGCCGTCTTATTTCAATGGCACATATGCGTTTACTTTCTTGTAAACAGGCTAACCTTGGCAATGTTGAGTATCTGAAAGAATTACGGTGTCATGATCTTGGGGCTCAAATGCGCCAAGCTATTGCTAGTGGTATTTCATTGTCTGCCACCAAGCCTGCACATGCAACCTGCCTTGGTACATTTGATCCCCTTCATGACATGGCAATCTTTGGTCTTTCAGAAGCTAACAATTTAAATGTTAAATTTGAGCATTGTGATCTTTACTTACTAGATAGTGTCTTAGGATTTCAGTGGGATGTAAAACCCTTAAAACCTAATGCGCCAGGATATTTTTTTAAGTTTGTAACCTCAGCAACAGTATACCTTTGTAAAAAGACATTTGCTTTTAAGTTTAATTTTACTTATGCTCAGGCAACATTCCCATTAAGTTCTGATTACAGAGAGTTGTGCAAGGGACTATTTAAGTAATATTTTGCATTTTCCAAAAAGTCTTGTTGATATATCAATTGTATTTTGATATTGTTAACTAAAAACATTGTTTTTGAAGTTAATACAATAACAATAATAGATGTACTTTGACACTTCTAATAAAAATCTTCGCATTTTGGATGTAAGAGTTTACTCCTAAACAATACCCGAAACATATTTATATATAATTATGCATGTACTGTAAACAAAGTTTCATCTCTAAACTTTCTTTCCACTGTCAATGTAGACTTTCTGGTCTTCACTACTCAAAGAACGCCACTTGTTGGCAATAATTAAGTTGACATCTTTAAATGATAGTCTCGGAAATTGTTGTTTCACTAAAGGAAACTCTTTGTGGGAAAACATTACATACCCAGTACATGGCCGCTTTGTCACAACACTCTTTGGAGTTGACTCTTTTGTCTGTGGCAGAACAGTTTTCTGGCGAATGATTTTCTTCATTTCTTGATGAGCACTAAATTTTTTCCCAGTGTCGGTAACAGCATTTCCCCAGACAACAGCCACATTGGCTAAAGCATCCTTAGGCGTTAGTTTCAACTTGGACAAGTCAAGTTTATAGTTCTCTAAATTAGGGCATTGTTTGGATTGTTCAGCATCAATGATAAATCTTTTGGAGATCATTGGCCACCCGTAGCGATATGCTTTTGCGATAGTTCTGTTAATTTTAGTGTGTACCTTGTCAACTTCTTTCTGAGATGTAATCAGAATAAAATCTGCATCCACAGCATTGTCAATGTCCCCAGTGTAAACAGTGCCTCCAGCCCTAACTATAAGGCTTGTTACTTCTTTTGTGTTGATTTTCTTTTTCTCCTTGGGTTCTGCAATGTTGCCAGATATCACAAAGGTTTTACCATCCAAAGGCTGAGGAGGTGGTTCTTCGATATCTTCCATGGAAATCACCGCTGGCTTCTCTTGATTACATGCTGCAACTTTGACATATTCTTTCCTAGGAGTCAAATTCACTATCATTGCCTTTTGCAACATTTCACTTTCTTCATCACGATAGAAAAGAGTTCTGCCTCGTCTTATTCTACCGCCACCTGTAAATAAATAAAAAAATATTATGAGCAAGTATTAGTATGAGCCAGAACTAGCTAGAGTCTGGCTTAGGAGAATACCATGGTCAATGGAATCAGTATATACCTGGTAAGCGAGGACTAATTGGTTGATTATTGGATTCTAATTGATTATTAGTTGCTTGTGGTGTTTGTTTCTCTAAGTCGGTTGGGACTGGATGATCATCACAGCTTGCTTGTGGTGTTGTTGGGGTGAGCTGATCACTACTGGTTTGTTCTGGCAGTTCGATCAGTTCGTGGCTTGGCTGATCATTGCTTACTTGTGGGAGTGTTGGGTTTTCTGTGAGGGGTAATGCCACTGGGGGTTCCAATCCTTTGCTCACAAAGACAGTTCGTACAAATTCTTGAAACTTTTGTTGGTTCTCCAGTGATGTTTCTGCAATACGCTGTCGATTTTGACAATAATACCATTTGAAAATGACAGTGATTGGATCTTCCTTTATCCACCCGCCACCTTGCGAGGATTGCCCATAAAATATACATTGGTGAAGATAATGAGCATGCTCACCACCTTCTGTACTGCACCTAAACAAGGAATGGAATGGTAGTTTCTTAAGGAGAATGGGCACAATATCTACCCTCTTCATGACATATGGATAGAGGCCAGATGAACCATAGCGATGCAGTAATAAGCCATGAAAGAGATCAGCAAGTGCTATGTACTTCTCTATTTCCTCAGGGGTTAGGCCAAATCTGGGTGAATCAAGACAGTCTGTGCTTGGTACAGGGTCTTTCCGGCAAAGCAGATGAAGTTCCCAGTTCACACGCCAAATTTCCTTTTCCAAATCATACTCCGATATTGTTCTCGATTCCAGGCCGAGAGCTTTCTGAAGAGCCACCGGAAGTTGTGTAGGGAAAGAATCATGTGAGGCAACATTGTCCAGAATGTGGGGGTATGGACTTGAGAATGCAGTTGGAGGAGCAGAGATAAGTTCTGCACAGTTGACATTTAGGGTAATTGGTTGAAGCTTGTTGTTTTCAAAATACAATGAAAAATTTCCATTTCTGACACCACGAGCATTGATATTTGCGAGAAAATGTCCCAATGTAGCCTCTTTCTTTGTTGGATCGTCTTTCTTGTTTAACTGTTCTAGTTCCATACAGGTCAGAACACGTTGTTTGACAAGGTGTTCGGTAATTCTAGCAAACATGTGATTCGCACAAGGAATGAAGTGATCTGTTGGAACGGCTGGAATCAGGGATTCTGTATGCTCTCTGTCAATCTTTCTACCAACTTTTGATCTCATTCCTGTGGTTGCCCCAACTTCTGACTTGGTAGCAATAGTTTCGTGGTTGTAAAGGTTAAAATCTGAATCCCTCTTGGGATCAAGCTTTCCACCAAGAACAGCATCAGCTAACATTGAATCTGAAGCTACATAAAATGTTTGACCGCTGTCCTGCATGGTTTCAATCCAGTCATTAAGGTAACCAGGTTTGCTTGAACATTGCCCAATGTTAAGTTCTAAATTAACCCTACTGTCACTTCCATAGAAAATATGAATAGGCCAGCAGTCTAAAGGGCTTTGAAAATTAACTCCATTGACCAATGATTCATTGTTAATGTTGCTTAGGCAAATGAGCACTGATTTTCTTCCACCATAGGTTCTTGCATCACCATATAATCTCCACCACTCATCATTAACATCAGTAAGCCAAGGGTATACAAATCCTAGACACTGGATCAGCCTCTCTGGATTGATACGATATCCTGTTTTGGTTTGGACTGGCTCTAGTATTTCTTGAAATTCCTTGTTAAACTGTGCTTTCAGTTTGTTAGTTTCTCTCTCAGAATCAAACACCCCTTTCAGTTTTCTTCGAAGACTTCGAAAAAGTTCAGTTGTGCTACAGTGATCTTGCATCTTTATAATATCCATAGCAGATACATGGCTGTTCTGTGCAAAATGGTCTTTTGTCAATATTTCGTACAATGATTTTTTGTTATTTGAACTATATGCTTTCTTAGTTATCTCAATAACATCTTGCACTGACAGAGAACCATCCCACTCATCTTCTGAAAAATTTTGATCAGTTTTAATCCGACTTACCATTTCAGCCAACCCTGTAATTAGGTCATCCTTTGAACCATGATGTATCTCCTTGGCAATGTTAAGCAAAGCGTCTTTCTGTTGCTTTACTCTCTCATCTAATGCTCTTGTCCTGCTTTTGGGTTTCCCTTCTGGGTTACACTGATTGCGCAAGTCTCTTGCTTGAATCAATTTCGTTGTTGAAAGCGGAGCACACTTAGGAGTCCTTTTGTCTGTTTTAGGTTGAGGTGTTGCTTGTAGTGGAACACAAGGTACTTCGTTATTTTCAACAGGTGTCGATATAAGATGTAATTCATTAATCAAAGGCATGTTCTGCTGAATTCTCAAACTCAGAGGCACAATCGATGAAAGTAGAAACCTACGAAGTGTTTTTATTCTTTCTTCACTATCACCAGTTTTTACTCGGAACATCAGCAATAGAGTAATTGCTGCTGAATGCATGATGTAAACCCGCTCCTTGCCTTTGTTGTTTTTAAATAAGAAAGGTTTATCAAAACCTGCAAAAATTATCAAGAATTAATATCACAAATCTATAGATTTACTATATATATAATTTGGAGATTGTTCCAACACTAAATTACGTTTCTTTAAAAACAAGTCAATTTATAAAATAAACAAACTTGGCCATTTACCTTGCTCTGCCAAAAGTTTGTCAATATATGGCTTGAAACCATTCTTCTCCACATGATTTCTGATGCCAAATTCTTGCAAGACGTCGTCTACTTCAAAATACAATTGACCATTCATCGTATAAAATCTCAGCTTGCAATCTGGCCACCCAAGTTGTTCGGTTGTTAATTCTGTCACTGTCGGTTCGTGATTTTCAACATATATTTGCTCAACAGCCGCTTGTTCACCCACTGGAACTTGATTCGCCATCGTTTACTCTATTTGGTGTTAAAAATTGCACAAAAAATCCTAAAATGGATGTGAAAATTTCTACTAGGCATAACGATGCTTAAAACAATGCAAAGATTCCAGAAGAACGCGCGAATGCAGGCGAAAGGTGCCGACGTGTTCCCGACGAGCTTTGTAACCCGACTTGGTCGGGTGGATTAAAATGCCAATTTTCTCCGTGCTGAAGTTGTAATGAAAAATGGCCCTTAACGGCTAAAATTAAGATTTTTGGAGTTGCCAGTTTTTTTGTCTCATCAAGAACTATAAATGTGCCAAATTTGGTGCTTTCTTCACAAAGTGCATGATTTTTCGACATATCTGCTGGACTAGTTATGCAAATCGATATAGGGCAGTGAAACATCATTTCAGCATTGTTCCAAAATTATAACTTCTAGCCAAGAAAACAAGTGTTGTAAACCTGTCGTGACTGTTGTAGGGATAGACTGCAAGTCTATCTCCATGACTGTTGCAACATGTTTACAACACATTTACAACCATATGACCAAATAGAAACCAGGCTATATGCTACAAATCATTAAACTTAAAAAACGGCCTTTAGTCAATTCGGCTTAGTTATAAACACTGGAATTTGAAATAGTTTGTAGGGATAGAGTGCAAGTCAATCTCCATGATCGTTACGACATGTTTACAACACGTTTACAACCATATGACCATATGGGAAACCACGTTTTATGCTATAAATCATTAAACTTGAAAACAGCTTAGTTATGACAGTTATTAGAATACACATGGTTTGGAGACTAGATGGAAGTACAATACAACTCATTATCTATGTTATTGTCCAGGTTTATGCAAAAAATGGTTCCTTATCAGTCACATGTCTATTTTAGCCCAACTAACTAATAGCAATGGCTTGGCTTAGCTCCTCAACCATGACTTGAACAACATGTTAATTCAGACCTAACTATTGGTTTATTTGTTCAAAATACAATAGACACGT